TCCCTTGTTCTTCTGAAAACTCCAATTTTTCTTCTGGTCCTGCACCTCATCTCACTGGGTCTGCAGAAAAGTATGAAAATTAATCCTAAATGGCTGCTTCTTTTTTGCTGGGAGGGCTTTCTTCTTATCTGCCATCCTGTTCAGTACTGTCTCCAGGTCTGGCCCAAATAGCAAACCTCCCGAAAAAGAAATCCCACATAATATGACATTAGATACAGTCTCCTGTCCATGTCTTGAGCCAGATGGCTCTCCTGGCTGAATTAACTAAATCAGAGGACCTGGCTGACATTCTATTCTATGCTACGGAGGCATCCGCCATATATTTCACTGCCTTTAAGAGGGTAGGGAAAGAGGGTAGGGAAAGACTCCAAAAGTTCTTTTCTTGTGGTTCCTGATTCAACATGCTCTTTCAACTGTTTAGTCCAGCATTTGAGATTTCTAGCGACCACCCTGGATTCCATTGCAGGCTTGGGATTGGATAAGGTGGAGTCCCACACTTTCCTAAGGAGACAATCCTCCCTCTCCTTAAATGTTAGAACTGTGCTTCTACATACCTGTGAAAAAGCCACATCCAACTTTGGCTCTTTGTTCTATACCATTATTATAGTTTTATCCTCCACAAAGGGGAATTTCCTTCTGAGGGAAAAAAGGGAGACTCTCTCTGGGTTCTTCCATTCCTTCTTTACCATTTCTAACAGAACTCGATGGACTGTAAAAACTCTGCTTTTGACCTTGTCCAAACCCTAATACATTCTGTCATAGATAGACAGCTGCATTATCTCTTCTTGTATTTTGAGGGTAGTATAGATTGCCTTTAAAAGATCATCTACTTCCTCCAAAGACAGTTTATATGACTTTGCCACTTCCTCCTCTCCCTCTTCCTTGTCAGAACCTTTAAGGGAGAGCAGGACACTTCCTCTCTCCTCCAAATCACTGTCATCCACAGGAAACCGCAGGAGTGAGAATCACATATATATACGTGATTTTGCTCACCCGTGCCGCCCTGTAGCAGTATTTCTGCCATAGGGCAGTTGGGAAGCGGTTGAACCAGTAGTCACCTTTAACTATTTAGGAGGCTCTGTAACAGCTCAGTCAAAAACATGCCATGCAGTGCTGAAACTGGTATGCCTAATGGACAGGGGTAATACAACAGAGATTCTTTCAGCTATGAATAAAATGACCAGAGATAGTTAATCCCACAGCAACCTGTGCTAGAAATGGTGGTATGGAACAGCAACACCAACCCGTTGTCTACTCTCTGGCAGGAAAAGTGGGCACATGCCAACTGGAGAATAAAATGTAATTTTTGGATTTACAGATGGGGCTTGCCTGTTTCTCTCTCTTGAATTGTCTCTGATGAGAAATATTAGCACTCTGTGTTTAAAACTATTATACTTTTTAGATTGTGTCAGCAAAATTACAGCCTGATCTTTGCTGGCTGAAATGTAACATCTCCCTGCATTCTAAATTCTCTTAAAAAAAGAAGCATTAACGTTCATCAGATCTGTGAAATACTTGCACAGTGTATCAAAAATACATGTTTTTTATTTGCTGGCTGAAATAAGCTGGCTCTCTGCTTCCATATTTTCCTATTCTGAGTAAAGATCAGATTATGTTCTAAAATGTGCATACTTTTCATTACAAGTGTGCACCTAAATAGAGTTTCCTTTACAATTTAAGGATAAAAGAACCCAACTCTGTCTCCAAATTGTCCTCTCATGAATCCCTTCCCAACTGGCACTGTGGATAAATGGCCAGATGGGACAAGCGTTGTTCTGGAAGGATGTTCCTTCACGTCCTCCTACTCCTGAAGCTTACCCAGGGCTGCACAGTGGTTAGATCCTATGATGGCTGTGTCCCTCTGACATAGCACATCACAGATCAGGAGATCTGCTTTCTTATTGGACCTCCTGATTATGTGATGGCTGTGTCCAATCACAGCCATCACACGATGTAAACAAAGGCACTTGTGTAGCTATATTTCAACAGTGTCCTATTACAACATCAACATCTGTTGGTGTCTCTAGTGGACCGTCAACATCTGTCAGTGTCTCTAGTGGACTGTCAATATTTATGTCCCAGTGGACTGTCAACATCTGTCTATGTCCCAGTGGATCGTCAAAATCTGTTAGCTTCTCCAGTGGTCTGGCAACATCTGTCGCCATCTCTAGTGGACTGTCAACATCTTTTGGCATCTCTAGGGGACCGTCAACATCTGTCAGTGTCCCTAGTTGACTGTCAACATCTGTCAGTGTCCAGTGAACAAAATCTACAATAGTGTCTCAATGTACATCAACATCTGTCAGTATCCCAAGTGCACATCAACATCTGTCAAAGTTCTAGTGCAAATCAACATCTGTCAGTGTACTCAGTGCATATCAACATCTGTTGGTGTCCCAGTGGATCATCAACATCTATTATTGTTCAAGTGCACCAACATCATCTGCAATAGTGTTTCATTGCAATATCAACATCTCTCGGTGTCAGTGGGTCAGTAACTGATTCAGAGGAGGAAGGGGTACAAACAAAGATTCAGGTGATCTGAGGAGGATCAGGCAACCACCAGCAGTGTTGTACAGTCTGGTGAAGTGGCGATTACCAGCAGTGCAACCCACCCAGATGATAGGACCGGTACTAATAGTCGGGTATCAAGTCTGCCACAAACAATTAGGGCCTATATCAAATGTGGTATCGTCACACTCAGGAGAAGTAACAGAAAGGGTTTTGAGGAGTAATTCTAAGTATGCATGTGCTGTGATTTGGAAATAATTTGTAATTGACAGCATTTCTAAAAAGCTTGTCGCTTTTGGGGGAAAAAAAATGAAATGTTCAAAATACTCATTATGCCTGATAGAAAACACCTTGGGTATTTTCTTTCTAAAACGGGGGCATTTTGCAGGTGTTTCCACTGTTTGGGTGCTATAGGACCTCCAAATATATGATAGGTAGTCAGGAAATTAGATGTGTAATTTATGCCCCTATAATGCCTGAAGGTGCTCCTTTAATGTTGGGCCTTTCCCTGTGGCCAGGCTGTGAAAAGATATCAAGCATGTGGTATCGCCATACTAAGGAGACATAGCAGAATCTATTTTGGGGTGTAATTCTTAGTCTGTCCATGCTGTGTGTTAGAAATACCTTATAAATTGACAACATTGTGTTAAAAAAAAGTTTTCATTTTCTTTCCACATTTTCCAAAAACTTGTGCCATGTTCAATAGACTCCTTATGCTTCACAGAAAATACATTGGGGTGTTTGCTTTCCAAAATGTGGTCATTTTGTGGGTATTTCCATTGTCTTGGTGCTCCAAGGCCTTCAAAAGTGTGATAGGTAGTCAGTAAATTAGATGTTGATTTATATGTAATTTATGCTTCTGGATGGGGCAATGTGCCATCAGATCTTGGTGAGAATCTTCCTTCAGCCAGGGCATTGAAAATGGGTCGTGGATGGGTGTTCCAGCATGACAATGACCCAAAACACACGGCCAAGGCAACAAAGGAGTGGCTCAAGAAGAAGCACATCAAGGTCCTGGAGTGGCCTAGCCAGTCTCCAGACCTTAATCCAATTGAAAATCTGTGGACGGAGCTGAAAGTTCGAGTTGCCAAACGTGAGCCACAAAACCTTAATGACTTGGAGAGGATCTGTCAAGAGTAGTGGGCCAAAATCCCTCCTGAGATGTGTGCAAACCTGGTGGCCAACTACAGGAAACATATGACCTCTGTGATTACCAACAAGGGATTTGCCACCATGTATTAAGTCATGTTTTGTGAAGAGGATAAAATACTTATTTCCCTCATGAACATGCAAATCAGTGCATAATTTGTTAGACATGCATTTCTTTTGAATTTTTGTTGCTATTCTGTCTGTCAGTGTTACAATACACCTTCCATTCAATTTTTAGACTGATCATTTCTTTGTGAGTGGGCAAACATTCAAAATCAGCAGGGGATCAAATACTTATTTCCTTCACTGTATGTACCATAGTTTGTAGACTATACCCTTCACACAGACTAAAAAATATATGCTTATTTGGGTTATTTTAACTAAAGAAATGTAGCAGATTAAAGTCTGCCTTAAATTTATGAAGAACGATTATTTATTTGCAAAACATTATAACAGAAACAAAGAAAAATGTGTTGTTTTTTCGGAATTATCAGTTTTTTTTTATTTTATATAGCAAAAAGTAAAAAACCCAGTGGTGATTAAATGCCACCAAAAGAAAGCTCTATTTTTTAAAAAAAAAATGATAAAAATTTCATTTAGGTGCACTGACGCATTCAAAGTGTGAGAGCACCAAAAGCTGAAAATTGGCCTGGGCAGGAAGGAGGTGAAAGTGTCCAGTATTGAGGTGGTTAATGAGGATGATAATCCGTGCAATATTTATATCATATCACCTCAAATATGCAGCATAATTTAATTATTTAAACTTAAATATGACTGCTCTGTCCCTCATAAATAGTGACCTATTCAAATTCTTGCATCTTCTGCATGGAAAACAAAAAATATATTAAAGTGGCACTCTGATAACCTCCCTGCTTTCCTCTGACATGCGTTAAGAATCTTGAACATGCTCAGATCTCTGCCAGGTATCCGAGATTTGGCAGACCATGACTGCACATCTGCACACATTCTCACACACGTGCACAGGTACTGCTCATCTCTGGGTCATGATGCAGCCTCGATGCATCTGTGCACATGCAGAAGACCCCCCTGGCACCTGTGCAAATGTGCTACTGAGTTTTTCAGGGTCCCAGAAAATTGCAAAATTGTTTTACTCTTGGAAAATAAAATGACTCCTCTCTCTCTTTTACATTATTGCTTTGGGCCCTATAAGCAATTACTTAAAAGTTAAGCAAATGATTAGACATGCAATTTATGTAATGCCGGAATATGGTTTTATTGACACTTTCCCCAAGAGTCATAATTTTCTATAATTACACGTACAGCTTTAAGCCATTCCCAAACAAAGTTATTTAACCGCTTGCTCTCCACCCTAGAGCAGATGTACTGCTACAGACAGGGGAGGACTGACCATTCGAGCACTCGGGCACTGCCTGAGGGCCCGGGGTCAGTAGGGGGCCCCATGAAATGCCCCTGGTACCTTTTTTATAGGCTTTGTTGAGTGTGGGCAAGGACACAGAGGCCCCATGATCCCCTATTGCCTGGGGGCCCCATGAGTTGTCAGTCCGCCCCTGGCTGCAGGGTGGTAGGGCTGCGCAAAAGCATGTGTATATATACGTGATTTGCATTTCCGGGTGTGTGCTCTACCTGTGCTGCTATTGGCGGCTGGAGATGTCAATCACCGGATCCTGGCTGGTGATTCCTGGCCAGCATTCAGCGATCGTCGGCAACACAGGTCTCTCTCCTGTCAGCATGGACATGCTTCTTTGTATCTCTCTGCACAGAGAGATACAAAACAGCATGTCTCCCTAGTACAATACAGCACAGTGTACACAGTAAAAAACACACAGCACACTGTTAACCCTTTGATTTCCCCAGATGTTAACCCCTTCCTGCCCAGTGTCATTTATACAGTGTCAGTGCTTTCTGTTAGCACTGATCACTGTATTAGTGTCACTGGGGATATCAGTGGCCGTTAGTCAGTTCCCACCCAGTGTCAGAATACCCACCGCAGTCCTGCAGTTCCACAGTCCTACTATAAGACTATGATTGACGCCATTACTAATATAAAAAAAATGAAAATAAAAATTCTAGTATATATACCACCATTTGTAGATCCTATAACTTTAACATAAACCAATTAATTTACACATATTGGTATTTTTTTTAGCAAAGACATGTAGCACAATACATTTTGACCTACATTTATGAAGAATTCTTTTTTTTTTTTTTGCTTATAGCGCATAAAATAAAAAACGCAGAGGTGACCAAATACCACCAAAAGTAAGCTCTATTTGTGGGGAAAAAAATGACAAAAAAATCTCATTTATATACAGCGTTGCTTGACCGTGCAATTGTCAGCTAAAATAACGGAAAAAATGGCCTGGTTAGGAAGGGGGGTAAATCCTCTGAAGGGCAAGTGGTTAAAGGAATAGTATTTTTTTTGTTGTCCTTTGGGCTACTCTAACATGACCTCTATTGAGTGAATGATAATTTAGTAAAATTGTTTCTTTGATGCATGTTCTCCAGGTTACTGCCTAGCCCCCATACATTTTTTTTTATACAATTCATTGATTTTAAGCTTAGAACATGGTTATGCCTCCATTGAGTTCAATGTCGTTTTGGATTCCAGTTCTGAACTTGATAACTTTGATAAAGTTTGCCGAACATTTGACGAGCCGCATTCGAGTGTGGCAAATCGCTAGAGTCCACACACAGTTGGCCATATAGTGTATTTCTGTAACCACGGCACACTGAGAACTTTGCCATTTGACTTACACCTGAGTGTTTGGTACTAAATGGTATACAAAAAAAAATAGATAGTCATTACTGTTAACAAAGAATATTAACGTGAATTTTTTGATCAGATGGGGATGGTCTGCAGAAGGTTCCTACTGAGGTGAACCAAATATTTAGGACTCGTTCACACCAAAATGCAGTCTGGGAAACTCAGATTCTGTGTGCATTTCTTGCACTGTGTTTGCAATCTGCTGAAGGTGTCAATATAATCCTAATAACACCCCAATTGCAGATTTCAAATGCCTTGTATTTGCCTGCACAGGTTTGCATGACACTGCAGTACCATTTGATCCGATGCAGTGCATGCACTACTTTTGATGCAATCCAGTGCAATTTTTTTGCCCATTCATTTGAATCACGTAGCAGTCCGCATTCCTCTTTAATTCAGGTGTGAACAGGCCCTTACACAACACAGTATACTTAGGTGTAAACACAGGGACTGTCTTATCAAAATAACAACAAAGAAAAATAAAACTGCTAAAAACAACTAATCAGATTTTTTTTTTTTGTGAGCAGTCCTCACAATTATAAAATAGGCATTTTCCTATACGTTCTGAAAAATGGGTCTTCTACTTGTACCTTGAAACATAAGGCGAGTATATGCAATGGCAAACAAGACTTGAACCAATGTAAATAAGTAATATTCATAAACATGTCTTTGTCTCTAAGGAGTTTTATCGTGAATTCCAAACACAAAATGTTCAGTAGATTCTCTTTTTCTTTTAGAAACCAGACAATTCATCTCTTAACTTCCCAGAAAGTCTTTTTGTGAAAATGTGTTTGATGAAATATTGATCTTATGTTTGTAATTCAGATGCTGTCTCTTGAGAATGCACCACCCTTTAATCTGCAGAGCCAATCACAGTGTCATATAGCAGTCCTTCTGGGGACATGTGTTCTGCTCGCTTGGGAGTTGTCGCCCGAAATATGAAAGAATAAACATAGACACAATCTGCTGCTTTACAATTTAAAGAGACAACAGCTTAAAAAATGTTTAAATGAGATACATTATGCCCAGCTTGGAGATAAAACTGTTCATAGACAGATGTTTTTCTTATCACTTAAAATGATCATAGCTGTTATAACTACATTTTCGTATATATTAAGCTTTAAGGATATCTATATAACAGTCTGTCTGAATAAAAGTCTATGAAAGCTTTAACATGTTAATGACATTTCAAAAGTCATTTTCAATGTTTTTAAAACTGACATTTTCATCAAAATAATAACTGGTAATCCTATCATAGTGAGACAATGCACGTGTCCTGTTTCCCAGTTGTGCTGCAGCATTGTCACCCTACTACACAAGTTGTGATGAAAGCGGAGTTCCAGTCCCCCAAAAAATAGTTTATTCTTACCTAGATCTATGAAGCAGGGAGTCGCCATGATGGCTGTGGGCATCTGAAGCCCGCAGGTCTTTACTTCCAGAATTCATGCTGCTGGCTATCCCAGCATGCAACAGTCAGCAATGCTTGGTGTGACATGTGCAGTACAGGTTGCCATAGCAATGGTGGGTATGGATGAAGTTCTCGCCCCCCGCCCCCATCAGGCAACCTGTACAGCACTTCAATACTGCACACACGTCCTCCTCTCAACATGGACTCCGGTAAAATGGCACGAAGCACCGCCCATTTGTGTTTTTTCCGATTTCCAAATCTCGAGAGCACAGGAAACCAAAGGACTCCTGTGCACAATCACAAACAGCGAAGTAAATCAAGCATGTAAGTCCTCAAAGTAACTTAGTTCTGATGAAGAACTACTCTGAGTGTCTACCCCTATGATGGAACTCGCGCAGGCTTCATAATTCCTAAGTTCCTTTGAGGACTTACATGCTTGATTTACTTCGATGTTTGTGATTATCATTCTGTATTCAATAAAATTTGGTTTACTGAGCTAATGCGCAAGGCTGGTGCGCTTTCTGTTTTGTTTTGCTTTGCAGTACTGGTCAGGCTTCCCCAGCCTTGCTTGGAGCTGCACAACCCTATATGCATTGGTGCTCAAATTTTTCAAGTTCTGGTTCCATTTTTCCACCCCAAATCTGGGTCTCAGAGCGCAGGAGAGGTCGTTTCTGGTACCCGACCCCATGCCCAGGTTGCTGAGGCGAATTGCAGGATGAATCACAAATGCAGCAGAGTGCTAGTACTAGTGCCATGATACTTTTTGGTACACTGGTGAGCGGCCTAGTACATCCTGGCTTTTTACATACCAGCACTGCAGTATCACTTGGTGACATGGCGAGTCCCATAAGTGCGGTACAAGCTGGTGAGGCATCTCGCAGCCACAAAGAATTCAAATACAGGTTCATAGAGCCTTTAGTGTCCTTCCAGATGTGCTTGCAAATTCTGATTGGCAGTCCACAGTTTCTGAAGCACCCGTACCTACCTCCCCCATTCACTATCCAACCCGATATTCAGGTGTAAACAGCAAATTTAACTACTCTCCTTGATTTTCTTAAGCTGTCTTTCACAGAAGATCTGTATCGAATGATTGTGGACCAAATACATTTATATGCTGACCAGTATATCACTCCAAACTCAAATTCAAACCTTGCCAGACCATTTGCATGGAAACCTATCACATGTGGCACCGTGCAACCTAATCGACGGGCCTCCCTCAATGGCTTGTTAGAAAGGGGGAGAAAACCTGCTTGAAAACTGCTGAATTGCTTGCAGTGAAGTGGAAGGACAAGTGGAATGTTTTCCATTTCCTGTCCTATCCTGTCTTCCATTCACGCAGACATGACAGTCCAAATTTGCATGGCAACTGGTGTTGTTGAGAAGCCCCTCTGTGTCCATGACTATACCCTTAGCATGGGAGGGGTGGACTTCAATGACCAGATGATGAAACCATACTTAGTTTCCTGTAAAGCCAGACGCTGGTACAAAAAAGTATCTGTATATTTATTTCAGTTACCTCTATACAACGCTTTTGTGCTTTACAAAGCAACTGGATTCTTCCTAAAATTTCAGGAAGAGATCATCACGGTCCTTTTGTATCCGGAGGTGCTGTGGCCCAAATCGCCAACCCAGAGGCAGTAAGCCGGCTACATGAGAGGAATTTTCCAGATGCCATTCCTGGTCCCTAAACCCAAAAGTCACCCCAAAAAAAGTGTCTGTAGCAGACATGAAATTTAAATGTGACCCCTGATTTTTTTGTCCCTCCTGTCCTGGCCAACGTGGTTTCTGCCTCAAGGACTGCTTGCATTGCTACCGCACACTAGTGTAGTATTAGTATAGGGTACAGCACGGCACAGTCTAGGGCACACATTCACACAGGTTCTTGAAAGATGTAGGTAGTCATTCTTGCATTTTGAGAGACCCTAAAATCACAGCCTGCAAAGTTTACCATTTTTTTAAGATACAAAAACCTTTTAAAAAGTTAAAAAAACATTAAAAAATAAAAAAAGTATAAAAAAAAAATATTAAAAATGTAAAAGTAAAAAAAAAAAAATTGTTGTCATTTTAGTGAGTTAGTGTTCTGTTACTGTGTTTTATTGTTAACCGTTGTTCGCTTTGCAGGAACGCCAATCAGCTGCAGCACCAATCTGTTTATTCTGACAGCAACAGGGTGTTGCTTTCAGAATATATGTCAATGTGTGCAATGCTGCTGGATGAGATTTCTCATCCTCAGTTAAAAAAAGGACATATATGCCAAAGCATGGGGGCCTGGGGTGGTCAGTGGGTGGATTACTCCTATGCTTCAGCATATACTGTATATTTTACAAAAAATTTGGCACAGATTTCAATTAAAAAGTTGTTTTATTGAATTCATGTTCT